AGTTCCTTATTCAGTGTTAATTTTGATTCTCCCTTCTTCCCCATAATCATCTTGCCAACACATATGGTGCCATGTAGCTCAGTTTACGTTGATTAAGGAAAAGCTTACAGATACTCTGTGTAATATCTTGATTATAAAGATTGCAGTTGGCTAGCTGAAATATTCACCCCAGACTTTATTTTATTTAATCTTAGCCACAATTGTCAGATCACTGCCCCTATTAATTGTAAGTTTTATTTCAGAATTAGAATAATAAATTTGGAATTTCAGTGCTCAGACCTTAAGAAAACAGTGAATTTTCAAAATTTAACAAAGTAGAACATTAATTAGATATAATTTGGAGAACATCCAATCTTTCATGGTGACACAGTGAAATTTACTAAGAGATTTGTACTCTAGCCCTCTTTCAAGAGAACAACACCTGCATAAGGTGTTCGTAGGTGCTAAGAGACACAGTGGTAAACCCATCGTTTTACTAATTTAATGTATATAAATTTCTTTCTTAAAACAAAATAACATATTATAGACGTAACTTATTTCATGCATAAGAAGGAGCCCTTAATTCCTTGACTGCAGTTTAATATAGCTACAAAGTTCAGATAGGACAGTCCCTGTTCAGAAAGGCTGTATCTAAGCACACAGACATAAGCCAGACGGGCTGGAGTAGAAATCTGACGTAACCATTTATTAGCTGAATGACCTTGGGCAAATTCGTAAACGTCTCTGTTTTCTATATCTTTATTTGCAAAATGGGGACAGTTATCATTCCTGTCTCATAGGGTTGTTAAGGGAACTAAATGAGTTAAAGCTTGGAAAGTACTTAGAATTGTATCTAGCACACAGTGTTACCTGTTTTTTAAAACTTTGAAAATTGAGGAGGAATTAGTTTATTTTCTGTTTGTTTCTCTCATCTCAAAGTGATTACAGAAATAAACAGGTTAGGGAAAATTTGGAGAAGGTAGTCAAAATAGGAAAATGTTGTAAAAGCAGAGGATAAAATCAGGAAGAAACTGTACAGTACAGTTGGGAGAGCAGGTAGGGGCTAAAGCAGAGAGGGAATCATGCTGCCGTATAATAAATGTGGAGCTGTTTGTGTAGTTGTCAATTAAAGCTTTTAATGCAAGTTCATTGTATTATACCAAAGTGCAAATTGAAATTTGAAGATCACTTCTCATGTAGGACATCAAAATTGCTATATGCCTTATATATTAAATGAGCACCCACCAGTTACACGTGTATCTTAAAGCTTCAAGATGTTCTCCAACGTAGCATGCCTTGGTAGATGTCCGTATTTGAAGGAATTGAGACTGGCAGGTGGTTGGTTAATCCAAAAGAGAAAAAAGAGAAAAGTTGGATAAGATAAGGAGTCGATTAAAAAATGATGCATTTTACTTTAAAAGTTTTACTTTAACTTAAAGCATAATTTCTGAGCAGCAAATTAACCAGTAAATAGTTTTTCCATATGTTCACTACATGGATTCCATGATGTTTTTTCCATTGTCCAAGGCATGTGCTACTTGCCATGAAATACCACACTGCCAGTGTTTTACTCAAGAAAGATACTGATGGGATTTCAGGTTATCTTTCTTACCCCCCCTCCCCATTTACCCTGAGACAGACAGACACACACACACACACACACACACACACACACACACACAC